ACTGATAGCACCTGCCGTGGTTACAAGCCATGGATACAGGGCTGTTTCCACCATTTCCCCTCTGGTCTCCCGCCTTCTCCTCCTCCTGGACTGGGCAGTGGCTGTGCTAGTTAGCTTGCAGAGAAGGAAGGGCCCCAGAAGCTGGGTGGAGAGAAGCGGAAGCTGCCCGTGAATTTTGGACTGAAGATAAGAGCAGGGAGGGTCTGGCCAGCTCCTCTCCCTCTGCCCAGAGGCAGGGCTCCCAGGTTGGGGTGTGTCCCGGGCTACCTGGGTGCTGCCCACCTGCCCTTCCAACTCTTAAGTTCCTTTTTCTGAAGGGCAGCCACCCCTTTCACCCTGTGAGCCACGATGGCATAGGTCCTTTGGTGCTGGAGAAATGATGGACTTTTGCTGCCAGGTGGACAAGGCCACAGGCTTCAGGATATACAAGGGCAGAGGCTAGAGAAACAAGGCGGGGGGGGGGGGGGGGGGCAGTCTGGTCAGCCACTTGGTGCCCAGGGAAAGGGACCCAGAAGTCATAGATTGTACACACCTGTATTTTCTTTCTTTCTTTCTTTCTTTTTTTGAGTCAGAGTCTCACTCTTGCCCGGGCTAGAGTACAGTGGCACACTCACAGCCACTGTAGCCTCGACCTGCTGGGCTCAGGCTATCCTTCTGCCTCAGCCTTCCAAGTAGCTGGAACTACAGGTGTGTGTTACCATGCCTTGTTTTTTGATTTATGGTAGAGAAAGAGTCTCACCAAGTTGCCCAGGCTGGTCTCGAACCCCTGAGCTCAGGCAGTCCTCTCACCTCAGCCTCCCAAAGTGCTGGGATGACAGGCTTGAGCCACCACACCCTTCTCACACCTATGTTTTCTAATGAAAGTTTTGTTGAAGTTTGTTAACAGAAAGGGAGAAATTTGTGGCCCCAATTCCCTTGAGATTCCAGGAGGGAAAGGCAAGAAGCGACGGTGACCTCTGTGTGAGCCGGAGAGCGCCTTGGGTTTCCACGCAGGCTCGAAGCCTCCCCATTCAGCCCTGCTCCGGCGCCACCCACCTCCCACCGGTCCCTCAGGACCTGGGCAGATACTCCCCTCCGTGCAGGCACCGCTGATGGGTTCTGAACTGTGTGTGCCGGTAATTGCCTCTGTAATGAGCCTGCTTCTCCAGCCCGGGCTCCGGGTGCAAGATGGGAACTGGAGTCTCAGTCTGCACCTCTGCAACTGGGGGCCTTGCACTCATGAACGGCTGGCTAGGCTCTGCTGCGCCAGGCAGGTTGCAGAGGGGTCTTCGGAGGGCTTCTTCTCCCTATCAGCCCTGGAAGCATGAGTATTGCAGGTGTCTGAGTCAGACTGAAACATAGTTTTGTTCCTTTTTTTTAAGTTAGGTTTCATAGTCTTGATTCCTCACTTTAAAAAAGAAAAATTAGACTGGGCGAGGTGGCTCACACCTATAATCCCAGCACTTTGGAGGCCAAGGTGAGAGGATTGCCTGAGCCCATGGGTTCGAGATCAGCCTGGGCAACTCGGCGAGACCTCATCTCTATAATAAATCAAAAAATTAGCCAAGTGTGATAGCATGTGCCTGTAGTTCCAGCTACTTGGAAGGCTGAGATGGAAGGATTGCCTGAGCTCAGCAGGTTGAGCCTGCGGTGGCTGTGAGCATGCCACTGCACTACAGCTTGGGCGACAGAGTGAGACTCCTA